TTTTTTATTGACTAACTGTGTTAATGACTAAAATTAATAATAATAATGAATAGTACAAAATCAGTTTGAAACCAATTCGTGTGTGAAACCTCCTCCACCAGAATGAACAGTAAATGCCTGGTTCTCTTTTTTAAGGATAGGGTAGAATTAGAAATGATCTAATATTATAGAGTAATGCTACATGTACACACACTTTTACACAATCTTTTAAACCTCTCTCATATAGAGGGAGGTCCACGATTATTTTTTTATGTGTGGACTCCCCTGCATGTGAGGTGGGTGTAAAAAATTGTGTAAAAAATTGTGTACACTTAGCATTATTCAATATTATAAAGCATGTGAACAATAAAAAAAGTTCCATGTTTCATGGTTCCACAGCTAATCTCCTTGAGCCCTTCAATAATAAACTTTGGTAAAGATTATGAATGTAAAACAAATCCACTTACCCTAGTCATTCATGCCTCAAACTAAAAAGAAAGAAAGAAAGAAAGAAAGAAGTGATGCTTCTAACTTTTAGCATGGAGAAAAAGAAAAAAATAATAATTTAATTTTCACAATCAAAAGAGCATTGATGTAAGGATAGTTATATGTTAAGGATTCCAAATAAAAAAGAATATGCATATTCTAGAACAAGAAATAGGCGTGTGTAATAAAATTTGCATTTAGATGATAACTCTTCAAAAGATTTAATCATATAATATTCTTTAAATATTATCATATTTGATGAGGGAGATATTGAAGTTGTGTGTTTTCAAGAGCATCAATGTTATTCTTTTACAATGTCGATATATTAAATTTGTATTTCTGAGGAGCAATAGTATAAATAACAATATTTTATAGAATATTCATATATATGGTTATTCTAAAATATTGGTAAATATGAATTTGGGATTTGAAACGACCACCCAATATTCTTTTAGAATATTGAGATATTTGTATATGAATTATGCTTACCCAGGAATATTAATATATTTATTAGAATTAGATTTGTATAAAGTTAATCTTCAAGGCTTACACATTATTTGTCTAGAATATTGATTTGTATTAGTTTTGATTTCTATTGAATATTTATGTAGTTGAATTATATTTTTTCAAGAATATCAACAGAATATTTTTCATAATATTCATAAAAAAAAAAAAACAAAATATAATATTTTGAAAATATAGACAAAAGCATAATGCTTCTTCAGGAACATTAGCACAATATTTTTCTTTTAATTTGAATAGAAAAGAAGAATCACTTTTGCCAACTCAAATTGCTAAATCATCTTGCTTTCTTTGAATATAGAAAAACGAGAGTTAACTTTTGCTATTTCAATTGTGCTTCTTCAAAAGTAACAACATAATGATAATCTAGATTATAAATAAGAATATATTAACGTAAGCATAATAATTTTCTTTTATTAAATGGAAAAGAAAAATCTCTTTTGCCAACATTTTAAACATAATAAAGTCTTCGATGGTTGGTGAGAAAGCGATATGGGCTTCTAAAAAATAAAAACTAGTCATTCATAGAAATATACTAGAAATAAAAAACTATTTAAGAAAGTAAGTAGCCAAATATGTAGTCAAACGAAATTATGGCACAATCCTTCTAGATGAACTGAATTTGATGCTTGACCACGTTACAACAACAGCCTCTAGACTTGGTCTTTGATGATGATTGGAATTAGGTTTTTTTTTTTTTTAAAAATGAAAATCGAGTAATTACTATTTTATTTGGTTGCAAAACCAGCTATTATCAAGGCAGAGTCGGGGACGACATATTTCTTTTTACTGAACTAATATATAGAAGAATTTTTCATATAAAAAAAGTAATGAGCTTGGACTGTCTTGGGCTAAAGTCACTGTCTTCTCCCCTAGTCTATTCCCCGGACTAACACCATTAACGGCGAACCTTAT